GTGAAAAGGATCCAGATTATCTTTTTTGACATCAAAGGCATCGTCCGCCAAGAATTTTTCCCTCACGGACAAACCATCAACGCCAAGATTAACGTGGAAGTCCTCAAAAGATTTAAACGAAGTGTTAATCGCGTCTGACAAGACTTCGCAGCCGATTGGAAGTTGCACCACGACAATGCCCCGGCTCACATCGCCTAGCTTGTGAACAATTACCTAACCAACTGCGGCATCCCAACGTCCAGATGTGGCTTTTCCGGACTTTGTTTACAAATACTCCTTGCCTGAAAAGGCTATTCTGGAGAATGCCTTCATAACGCCTTCAATGCTTGAAATTGCGTTGGCAGCGCTGCATCGATGCAAAGGAGCCTATTTTGAAAGTTTTTAAAGAATTGTAACGATTGGTTCAATAAATTTGTTTAAATCAACTCAGTCCTATTACTTTCCGCACAAACCTATAACCTATATGTACATATATCCCAGAATAAACTTCTAGTTGTTGTTTAACAAAAGCTTTGGAACATATTTCAGAGTGGATATGTAATATATTTTACGAATTTTAAACCATTAAGGAAATACGCTTCCTAATTTTCTTTTAATAAAGTATGTATAAAACCGCCCTCTTGAAGCGCGAACTCGAAATACTGTTGTTTTATGCCAAACTTAGAACATTCGAATTTCATTATATATTGAGGAGCTTTATGTTGCGCTTGGCAAACTTTCTAGAACTTAAAAAAAATTTTTTTTTTTTTGAGATTCTTTCTAAGAAAGTTCCTTGACACTATTAGAAGAGAATTACAAACGTTGAAACAATTCGATGGATCTTTTTCATCCGAACGGGTCAATACCACCTCACGGGTCAATAATATTTCATATCAGAAAATATATTGGTGTCCACAATATTTTCTGAGAATAATGAGACGTTATTACCTTTCATTCATCATAAAATATTTTTGAGAGCATCACTAGTCTCAACTGTATAATACTGCAATGCTTGCCATATGAAGCAACGGAATTTAGATGATTAATTATATGAAAAAGACCGTTATTAACACAAAAAAGAAATAATCAAAATTTCATAACATTTGTTAAAAAAAAATTTGCTATTTTTTAAAATACACGCGACTAAATTTACTCTAAGTCCCTATAAAGCCGTCTTCGAGACTCACATATATCTCAAGAAAGCTCTGGATATTCTGACAGTTGATGCACAAAATTACATTGTAACACGGAAAGTGCTTATGTCATGTCACTATCAAAACAGTTTGAGTTGATTACGAGAGAACGAATGTGCAATGGCTTGTAATGATAACGGTGCAATAAGAAAATAAGAAAACTGAAAACCGACTTCGAAGATGCGAAACGAAATATACATGTATTGTATATAAATCAAAGTATTTACTAAAGAACTATGTATACATATATGAAAGAAGCAACTGCTTACCCATTTAGTTCCAGGCCAGGCAGCCGCCGGAAAAATCGCTTGTGTTGTTGTAACGGTTGCAGCGATAATAGAGCACATGGGCAGCGGCGGCTGTGCGAATCACTTTGCACACAACGAGATTAGCGAGATTTGTTTGATTCAGCTGCTCTCGCGTGATTAATCTAACGACACATGCACACACACTTACACATATATAATTTATAATCCACCTATTTTGCAAATTTAAGATTATAATGTGCTTTCTTTTTTTTTGCTTTGAGTGTAGTTTGTGCGCTCACGTAATGCACACACACACGCACATAAATTAATATTTTTTGCAAGAAAATTTCTATCAACAATTTAAAACTTTCTTAGGCTTTTCTGCTAGCTACCATTGACCGTTGATTGCCTTCGTAATTAGTGCCTTATTTTGGCAATTGTTTTTCTTATTTTTGTGGCTTTAAATACACAGCGCTCCATTCATTTAGTATGGCAGTACTCAGGTTTCTGTGCTGCTCTAGTCGCGCAATCGTTATCGCCGATGCCAAAGTCAGCGCTGACGTCGCCGTCGCCGTCCCAGCTATTTCGCTTCGTTCACTATGTAAGCTCACTTCAACGTACAATACGCTTTACTTGCTCAAACAGTTTTCAGTTATACTACGGCTAAAACGTTTGCACATTTTTTGTTGTAAAACTTTTTTTTTTTTCATAATTCTCCACACCTGTCAAATTCACTCAGCCGAGCTCTGCTGGCATGCACTGCGTTTAAAATATATATAATTTTTTTTCTTCCATTTAGCAAGCAGCTAGCAATAGCTGTTTAGTTGCTAATAAATTTCAAGATTTTGCTAATTTGTGTTATAATTTTCAAAACACTACCTGGAACAAGTGTATTTCTTATTCGAACTAAACTTTTTCACTTGCAATAGGTATTTATTTGGCGTTTATCAAAGTACCGTGGTCGTGACCTGTGCGCACCATGTTCGAGATACAAATAAAAATTTGGTGATTTTGCGCGAGCAGAAATTAGTGTGTCGCCCAGTCATTTGGTCGGCGTTTTGCTGCAATTTCGCTCTTTGCTTTTACCATTTTCATCCGTGTACTCAATCGGAGAACGTCAGATCTCTGGACATGCACTGGCTTTCCGTTCAACGAATGTCATAATAAAGTGGAATGTAGCAAATTTTTATTTATTATGCGAGCAACGACATCAGAGTAGTTAGCTACAAAGCAAATGTGGCATTTAGCGCCATCTATATTTCAACTTTTGTAGATTTTTGAATATTTAGTAAGCCTTTAGTGAGGGTATTAGCTGCAAAGACAATTTTGAAAATTAACTTCTTTTACTTTAAGAAGCTATTGGAAACAAGTAAGGTAGCGCTAAGTTAGGGTCTCGCCGAACAAGTAAGGAAGTATTGAACTATTTACAAAAACAAGCAGGAAGTTGCATTGTTACTGGAAAGAGATTCCTTCTTAATTTCATTAAGGCTTCTTATATATTGACCAATAGTAGTTCACCGGAAGTTCGAAAATATTTTCATTAGGTATTTAAGCCCTAAGTGGTATATTGACCCGATTTTACACATTTTTGGCATAAGGACATAGTATCACCACAAAATTATACTCCCCGAATTTTAATAATATGCTTATAGATAGACCACTATGTTCGGTGAAAAATTGCCAGACGCAAATATTTAGCGTGTGGATCCTCGAAAAGTTATAGACCGATATCGATTATTTATGGGCATAACATTAAATATCTTAAGGACACTACTTGTGAAAAGTTTAATACCGTTATCATAAGTGGTGTTATATAAAAAGTGTGTGTGTTTTGGTTCACAGTGTATGATATAAATGGCTAGATTACCTCACAAACAAAATTTGGTTGAAATTGGTGGGGCAGTCGCCTAAAGGTCCAATTTTTACGCTTCGTTCTGGTCAAACAAGGACAGTAGCTTCCCAACTCATATTCGGAATACTTAAACAGTAAAATAGTCACAAGATTGGTATCGACGGCACTGAAGTATTCGCTTACATTCGTTTACTTTTTAATTGGAATAGTACGAAATAAGTTGAAAGTTTATTGCACGCAAAGAAAGAAAAGTCTATGTTTGAAAAGGTTACCTCAAGAGGAGGTGGAGAAGTGAAAAATTATGAACAGGTTTAAACCGTATTGTGAGCAAATATTACATAGAGTAAGAAATCCATTTCGGCCAAATACATATATTTACGCTTTCAAAGTGGCAAAATATGGGTTCAAATTTTCGGTTCTTTAGGATGTGGTTACAAATTATGTCTGGAATATCCAACAGCGTACAATAAAAGATATAAAAACTAAGACCGAAAAATACCAGCGCATGAGAATAGTTTCTTCAGCTGGGCTGAAAGGTCATTAATATAGAGAATATCTCCAAAATATGTCACTTTGTACAAAACCTATTGGAGAATACATCACTTTAGGCCGCCCATTTGGAAAAATAAGCCATAATTCCTCTTCTTCTTTATTGGCGTAGACACCGCTTACGCAGCAGTTTTACAATTAGAAAAAACCTAATCTATCCAACGGAGTAGAGGTCTTCCTCTTCCTCTTCCTCTGCTTCCACCCGCGGATACTGTATCGAATACTCTAGGAGCTAGAGTTTTTTCATCCATTCGGACGACATGACCTATCTAGCGTGCTCGCTGTCTCTTAATTCGCTAAACTATGTTGCTGTTGCCAATGCGCAAAGGACCATAAATCTTCCTCAGAACCTTTCTCCCGAAAACTCGTAACGCCAGCTCTTAAGATATTGTCATCGTCCATGCCTCTGTACCACAAAGAACGGGGGAGTTGATGAGTGACTTGTAGAATTTGGTCTTCGTTCGTACAATGAGGTCTTTAAGTTTCAACTTACTCGGTCCAAAATAGCACCTTATGGCAAGAGTTATTCTGCGTTGGATTTCGATGCTGAAATTGTTGTTGGTGTTAATGCGGGTTCCCAGATAGATGAAATTGTCTGCGATTTCGAAATTATCATTCAAAAGTGACGCATTCAACAATATTTTGATTGATATACGAGTATATTGAATGCATGGCAGGCAATCAAAGAATTAATAGAAGGCTTGTTGGGAAAGCATCGTTCTAACAACTACGACGTTTCTGTCGCAAGGATGGTAAGAGCATTCTCGGAAATTTGTTTTTTTTTTTTACTTTTTGGGCAAAATGTTGCAACTAATCGAAAAAACATCAAGATAAAGAAAAAATTTAAAAGGTCATAAAATAAACTGACACATACCAACGCCCAACCCTTTGAGGGTTTTACTAGACTGACTTAGTACCATCACCCTGACTTGGAATTTCTCACCCCCCCGGACAATAATCTCAAAAATGTTCCACAGTGTTATTGGCGTAGTAATTACAGACAGTCCTATTTACCTACGTTTCCTGATTCTTTTTTGTCACAATGTTCACACAATTGTAAATTATTTTATAAAACGATTCTTAATTCTGGAATTGAAATAATCCAAGATTACTTTCGTTCCCCATACTGTTTTTAGGAAAACATTTCAAACAATGTATTATTTGTTGTTAAATAGAATATGCGAAGTTTTATAAAACATTATGCTCAATTAAATTAGTTTCAATGGCTTTAATGTCAGTAATGTTTAGGGTCCTAAAATTTTCAATATAAAACCACCATCTCAGTAATCAATACTTATAGCCATATGCAAATATTTGAGGAAGTAGGTATTCGCTCGCCAGGTATCCCACGCCACGCCTTCGCCATACTGACTTTTTGGATATTCTCCTCCTAAATATAAACCTTTCAGATTGCTATAGTAAAATAAAATAGGTAAATGATTTGATATCAAAATTCATATTATTTGAAAACTTCATATGATAGAAATTCATTCATTGCCATGAGAAAAACGAGTATTACCTGTAACAACATTTCTTATACCACCAAGCGCCCTTATATTTCACTGCACAGTTAACACCATTTTTGTCATTATCACTATCTTTAGTGGTGAATTTTTGGTCGCGATGGGCAAAGAACGAGTCACCGGCCGTGCCTGAGTATTCACCAAGCACAATTAACTCATATTTCTCCTGAGCATTGTCTATAGCGAAGCTCTCATACTTAGCAACACGTTTCTCATTTTGAAAATCTTCCAATTGAAACCAAAGCTCATGAGATCGCGAATGAGTCAATGCATGTATTTTATCCAAGCCGAGGAAGAAATTGGCATTCAAATCGCCGAAACCGCGTTCATACTCGTTGAATTATAGTCCATGGTTCGCCGACAATAAACATTGAAAGAGTGTTGAAGGAATTCCGGCAAGTAAAGTTCATAAACACCACTCTCTACATATTTCCCGTTTTCTTGACGCATTGCTTCGGTACAAGAAGATGGTTTCTTGGTTGCAGTTGGCGCTGATTTCTGATTCTTCTTTACTTCACCTATAAGCTGCTCTTTCATTGCCATTAATTCGCTTTGAATACTAAAAAATATAAAAATATTGTAAAATCTTATTAATACTCAATAAATTAAAAATATATTACTGCAGATCATAATTCTCTAGTTTGAGGCTCAAAAACTCCACCTTATTGACCGCGCTCTTCAATAAATCATCGTCACAAAGATAGGTTCAAAATGAAATGGCTAAATGAATAACACAGGAGTATAAAATTTATAATTAATCTATTTTATTAAATTGAAAATACCGCTACATTGGCGCTACTTTCAATAAGTGCTGAACAATTCCCCGAATACAAAAGATGCCCACACAAAATGGACAAGAGTATCAAACGAGTCGCCATTCTCCACAATTTCAGTCAAACTGAATACGAAATTGATGACTGTGTCTTTTATACTCGTTTTCGGGTGAAGATTTGTCTTATTTTTTTCAATTAATTACTCGTCTGAGGCGGTGATTTTGTTATCAAATTTGTGTATACATACACATGTACTTATTCGGCTAAGATTTTCATATAAATATGTAATAATATATAAAAATACGGTTAAATCTTATCGATACTCAATATTATAAGAATGGATTACCACAGATTATAGTTATCTAATTTCAAGCTAATTGACCACTCTCTTCATTAAATCATGGTCCCAAAGATAGAAATTTCAAATAAATTGTACAATTTTATAAAACTTAAAGCGAATTTATTTTATTGAATTTAAAAGGAAGGCAAATACCGCTACATTGGCGCTACTTTGAATAGATGCCAAACAATTCCCAGAATAAAAAAGATTCCCACACAGAATAGACAAGAATACAGCGTTTGTCCGGAAAGTGATAGGACTGAATTGATTAAATAAAATTTATTGCACCAAATCGTTACAATACTCTAAAAGTTATCAAAATGGGCTCCCTCTCGGCCGATGCAGCGCTGCCGAAGGAAATCAGTCCTATTACTTTCCGCACAAACCCTTTTTCTGCCAGAAATGTTACTCTTTAGCGAAGTTACGAAGATGCTTTACAGGTGTTCCAGGAGTTGACTCGTAAACAGCTTTTTTGATTCCTGCAATATAAAAAAAAAAACTCTCATGGCATTTCACTGTTTTTCGAAAGTAGCATCTCTTAGTTTTGTCGTCCGCTTTTTAAGCCTATTTTTTATTATTATTTTATTTTTCATTACAACATGTCGCTATAAATGTGGTTAATGAACACGCTCACATCCTAATTCTTTCACCGGTTTACATAGAGTACGCTTGAATAATCCGTATCATTGCATTTGATGTTTTTGAAGGTCTTCCATATAGAATTACTCTATATATATTTTCAGCATGGCAAGGAGTCGATTTTGCACTTATTGCAATAATATGATTACTCAAACACCCAAATATTTTAACGGTTTTGAAAACGAAACTATGTATTTCAGTTGAAATATAAAATATCATTCATGAGTTTGTGATTTTAAATAACCCAATTCCGATCACCAAAACGCAAAGGTATACAACCGGCAAACACATACGGTGAACCTTTTAGACTGTCTGCGCTTGACGCGTATTTTTAACAAACTCTGCGGCCTCACTATCGATACCTCTTCCATCGTACCGTGGGGACCACAGATATTAAAAGCGTAGTTTTGACTATGCAACACAAGTGCACAAGAGATTCTTAATTATTTCCCTGTCAACAAGAATTTGATGTACATCCGCTCTACAGTTTAACACATGACTTTGCAACCAGGTAGCCCATTAATTCGGGTTTTAAATTGTGTTAATCATGCTTCTATTCGATTGAGATCGTTGTATAGACAATTCACGGTTTTAGGTGTTAGCCGTATACCATTCTTGGCCATCTCGTTCACTATTTCATTGCCCTCGACGAACTTGCGGTCTGGCACTCAGTAGAAGTAAAGTTAGTGAAATTGCTCGTTCCTGGGAACACTTTGGTTGTGTTAAAAGATGTTCAAGCGTAATAAACGCGAGTTTTAGTGTAGATATGTGACGACGAATGAAACACGATTCCATAATTTCACTCCGAAGCCCAACAAAAGTCATCCGAGTGGACTGTAAGCAATGAACTCGAATTCAAATTCCCCCAGCGACTATTTGCTGTTCTCAAATAGTTAAAGAAATTTTCGTCGAATGAAGAGGGCATCGCCGAAATTGAGACCTATTTTGAAGCAAAGAAAAAACGTACTACAAAAGCATTTTTACTATTCTAAGCAGGAGACCTGCATAAATGATACGCGCGATGACCTAAGTCGGTTTAGCCATATCCCACTATGTACTTATTCGTCGGGGAGTTTTATTATAGTTCAAATTGTACCAGCTCCGTTTTCCACTATGCTTCTCACTAATACTGCGTTTATTCGTGGCAAAGCTACATCGAGAGCACCTATTTTATTAAAAACGAGCAATATAATAAGTAATTCGATTATAGTTTTTGGAAGATAAGTCGCACAGTGAAACCAAGTAGACAGTGGAGTACAGACTCGCCTCGAGTTTAAATATGGTCGCACATCGTTTATTGGTCATCTGAAAATGAAGTATATATATTGCTGTTTAAAGAGGCGCCACATAGCTAAGGCGGTAAATATCGCAAAGACCGCTAGAGTTACATAATATATCCTGCATGAACTCTTTTGCATACGAAAATTTCGTCGTAATGGGTGCCGTGTTTGCCCAATTCGGTCAAAAAGCGCAATTTGTGGAAGTTTTTGTGTGGTTTCGTGATTGTCAATGAAACGTGGAATCAATGGGACATATCGGAGGCGAACACATGGTCAACACAGTGGATTTGACTCGAATGAGGAATTTAGAATCGCCACGGGCTTTTACTTCGCAGACCTCAAAATAATAAAGTGTCAATAAATATTTTTATAACTCAATTATACGAAAGCGGTCCATATTTTGGTCTAGCTGCATATGTCTATCAGTATAATATCAAATACAACAGTTACACTATTACCTTCATTACAATTCTAATTCCACCAAGCTCCCGTATATTTCACTGCACAGTTCTCATCAATTGTGTCATTATGGCTTGTGTTTAGTCATAAGTTTATGACCATGCTGAAAAGTTAAAAAATCACCGGCCGTAGCTGAATATTTCCCAAGTGCGCTTAACTGATATTTATTCTAAGCATTAAATTCCCCAAATATATATAGTAAGGCGTTTCTCATTTCCAATATCGTCTAATTGAAACCAAAGCTCATGTTATTTCGAGAGCCTAGAAAGGGATTGGCATTTAAATCGCCGAAACCGTGCCAATATTCGAACCACCCACGATAAAAGTCGCTGTCGTTGCTTTAAATAGCTTTAAATACGTTGAGCGTGCATGGTTCGCTGCCATCGGGATCTTTAAGGCAATATACATATATTATGTAAGTTGCAAGCGCTATTAAAGAATTCAGACTTGTAAAGTTCATAAATGTCACTCTTTGATATATATCTGCCATTTTCTTGGCGCATCTCCTCGGTGCAAGAAGATGGTTTCTTGGTTGAAAGGGGTTGTATCCACATTTTAGTTGGCTTCATTACTTAAATAACGATTCGTAAAAATTGGGAGCTTGGTGGTATGCAATTGTTGTGCGAATTTAACACAATCATACTTGATTTGTATTAAAACAATTTAACATTTTTTCCCCCGATTTTAAATATTACAACCAGACTCAATTTAAGTATAATATAATAATAATTACCACAGGTTGGGAATTGATTTGTAATGAGACGCCACAAATCACTGCGTACAAAATATGTCCAAAAATTGTGCACAAATATTTAAAACGAAGCGTCATTTTCTATGACTGTAACTTGACTGAGAGTTAATGTGTTCTCGACGTGTGAGGTAGGCAACGATCCAAATGTTATTTAGACTCGGCTAGGTCCGAGATAAGAAATCACTTACACATGCAGCAGAGATGCATCAGATGTGAGAAAGCATATTTCCTATCAATATTGAATTTATTTATAATACACCTTATTTAAACGAATGCAACCACTTAATTTAGAATTAACAAGTTAGGAAGAGCGAAGTTCGGGTGTGACCGAACATTGCATACTTTTGCAATTTGCCAAGACCAAAGCTGAGAAACCCTTCAGATTTAAAACGTCAACTAGATCATCGGAGTTCAAGCAATTTTATATATTCATAAATATATAGCTCATACACTGTCTGACGTATTCGCCATAAGGTTTGTTAGAATAACGAAAATCTTTACATGTAGTACATAATATTGGACTTGCGATAATTCGTGGAACAAATTGAAATATTTTTGATACTAAACTATAGTATAGCCAATATAATATGCTCATTTAATTTTCCTAAAATATCTAACGTTAAACGGGTAATGAAGGTAGTATTAAACCACTTTTATCTGTTTTTGGCAATACCACATATTTTTAGGAGATAAAGACGTTCTCTGAGTTTCAGTCCAGAACTGTATGGAGACTCAACTGGTAGTAGTTTCGGCCACGAAATCTGTCCGGAGACTTAATACAGGTACCACGGAAGCAGGAGTCTTTGGAGTTTGCACCAACCTGTGGTTTAAACCCAAATTCGAGTAGATGTGAAACTTTGTCAGTTCAATGTGGAATCGCAGCGAAAACAGTTGCTGAACCCAAAACACGGCAAAGGTCGACCTAGAACCCGACAAAGATGGAAAAGGTGTCCCTTCCACTTGACCAATTGGAGTCAATCAATATTTGCAAAAATCATGTATAATTTGGGATACTGATCAATGCGTGTTTTGTTTCATGTGCTTTTTCAAACTACTCATTGGATACAAGCCTTTTCATTTTCAAACGTCTAAGAAACCCCTTCGGAAAGTGCGAGGAATATCTTCAATTTAGCCATATTCTCTTTAAAAGAAGTTACCTCTTCCAGAAAAAAGTTTACCCAAGCAAAAAGTGTGCCATAAAAAACTTAAGACGTCTTTCGAAATACTTGCACTCCAAAAACATAAAATCCAGTATATTTTTAAGTTTAATTTACTAAAAAAAAATATTTCAATAATAATACTTTGGTCTTATAGCCATATGTACATATTTGAGTGAGTAATAATATCCACGCCAAGCTTGCCACACAACACCTTTGGCAAACTGATCCTTCGGAAACTCTCCTCCAAAATATAAACCGTTAAGATTGCTGTAAGTGATACATAAATTCATATGAGAACCTCACGTGAAATGTGATATCTATATAACGGTTATATTACCTGGCATGACATTTCTGATACCACCAAGCTCCTGTATATTGCACCGCGCAGTTGCTAGCATCTTTGTCATTATCGCTATCTTTAGTTGTGAACTTTTCGCCGCGGTGAGTAGTGAACGAGTCACCGGCCGTGCCTGAATATTGCCCCAGCACACTTAACTCATACTTATCCTGAGCATTGCCTATAGCGAAACTTTCGTACTTAGCAACACGTTTCTCATTTTGAAAATCTTCTAATTGAAACCACAGCTCATGAGATCGCGAATTCGTCAGAGCATGTATTTTATCCAAGCCGAGGAAAAAATTAGCATTCAAATCGCCGAAACCGTGTTCATACTCGAACCACCCACGATAGAAGTCGGTGTCGTTACTTTGACGACGTTGAATTATAGTCCATGGTTCGCCGCCATTGGGATCACGTAGGCAATAAACATAGAAAGCGTGATGAAGGAATTCCGGCAAATAAAGTTCATAAATACCACTCTCTGCATATTTCCCGTTTTCTTGACGCATGGCTTCGGTACAAGAAGATGGTTTCTTAGTTGCAGGGGGCGCTGCAACCACATTTTTGCTGGCTTCATTACTAAAGCTTAAAGAGTTTTTCATTTGTACGAATTTTTAGAAATTTTGAAGTAAATATAAGCTGCTTACCACTTCGTTGCAATTTTCGAATCTAACAATTCGAGATTCGTTTTTACTTCACGAAGAAGCTGCTCCTTCATTGCCATTAATTCACTTTGCATACTAAGAAATAAAATATTGTAAAATCTTATTAATATCACAATAAGTTAAAAATAGATTACCGCAGATTATAATTCTCTAATTTCAAGCTCAAATGCTCTACCTTATTGACCGCGCTCTTCAATAAATCATCGTCACAAAGATAGGTAAGAAATGGCTAAATGAATTGCACAAGAATGAAAAATTTGAAATTAATTTATTTTATTAAATTTAAACATAGGCAAATACCGCGACATTGGCGCTACTTTGAATAGGTGCTGAACAATTCCCCAAATATATAAGATGACCACACAAAATGGACAAGAATATCAAACGGTGCGCCATTCTCTACAATTTCAGCCAAACTGAATGCGAMATTGATGACTGTGTCTTAAATATTCGCTTTTGAGTGAAGTATTCTCTTGTTTTTATAAATTAATTACTCGACTAAGGCGGTGATTTTGTTATCAATTCTTTGTACGTATGCTTGTACACTTATTCGTCGGGGATTTTTATTCTAAGAGTGGGATCAATCTCATAWTAGCACTGAGGTGGTACTTCGCAATTGCCGGAAGTGCAGTCTTCGGTACATTATCGATGTGTAAGTATGCACTTAAATACTTAGGGAAGAGCTGAAATACGAGACGGTTCGATAATGCTGAGTCTCACTGCCCTATGACAACACTATTGCAAGTTATGTTTAATAAATTTTTACTAATATAACTCGTAGTTTAGCTTTGTCGGGTTTATGAAAAACTGAGAAAGAGCAATATCGGTCAGTAAATCGACGATAGTTTTTGACAGAGTGCTGTGCAGTGAAAAGAAAGATTATGCTGTATACGGTTTAGACTTCTTTCGATCGGTCGCGACTGAGGTTTGGTAGGGCTATGTTAAGAAGTCGATGTTTTCAGGCATTTCATTTGGGCAGATGTTGGCGCACAAGGTTTTTTTTAAGCCCTGGGACCGAAGCAAAAAAAAAATTAAAGCAAGTAAAATGTATGACAAATATAAGACTCTTTGAGAAGCCTTAATTTAAACAAAGGTATGTACGTATACCCCTTTGCTGGATGGAGTTTAATTGGATTTCGTTGTGCAGAATAGGCATTGATGTAGCCATACATTTACTACGGTTTATCTATAGCACTGTCAAGTATCACCAACCAATTTTGTCATTCTTAAAATATAGAAATTAAAAACATTATTAAGGATGTTCCATTTCAAGGATCCGTACTTTAAAAAACAGACAAACTTTAAATTTAATGGAAAATGTTTATTATCATTCGAAAGAACATTCTCTCACAACTTTTGAAGATTACCTCTTTCAAATGGTAGCCGCGGCTACGTCTCATATGCTCCATACGTTGAGTAAAATTTTCGATCATTCGTTTGAGCATTTCGACTGGCGAATGACAGGGCACACGCAACGATAGTGACTAGCCAGAAGCTTCGAAGCTTGGTTAAAGGGATCTTATGCATCCACCTTATGAGTAAAAAATCGCCTCAAGAGCAGCTTGTGAAACGCAACTATCTCAGCTTTCTGGCAAGAGGGACAAGTGCCTATATGAGTGTGGTTTTATAATATTAACTACGCAAGGATAACAGTTTATCAAATTTTCAAACTATTCTAAAAAAAAAATATTAACTTTAAAGCACAAAGAATGGATTTTCCTTTATTGGATTTTATATAATATTAGCACAGAAGTTTGCCGTAGGTGGTAATGCAAAAGGCAAGTCTTTAAGGGTGTATACCATATTTAAGAAGTCATAATTTTTGTTTTTTTTTTTTCAAATAAATCTATTTAAGAATTAATGGAATTTTATACTATAATTAAAATACTCTATTTGCTTTTCATGTTAATTGAGTTATAACTGAGTTAGTGTGGTCCGGTTTAGCTTACGAAAGAAAAAAAATTTTAGAAAATGACAATTTATTACTTTTCTCTGGGTCTTGAGGTCCGAAGTAAGATAACTCCCTCATTCTAATTAAATCCTCTGTATTCACTATGAGTTCGTCTCCGATTTCTACCATTGGTTCCACGTTTCGTTGGCAATTACGAAACCACTCCACATTGCGCATTGCCAAGGTCAATCACTAATATGAAGAGTTCTCACATCTGAGCTTGTTGAGACTTGAAGTTAGCCAATATGGCACACATTGCGAGGAAACCTCTCGTTTGTAAAAGATTTAATGCCGGATATAACTCGAGCGGTCTTTGCGACTGCCTTTGTTATGTGCTTTTGCTATGTGGCGCCTCTTCAATCAGCGGTACTCCATTTTCAAATCACCTAGGCGTCATCAATAAATGAGGTGCGACCACATTTAAACTCGAGACGAATACGTACTCTAAACAGCAGCATTTTTGATTTCACTGCGCGATTTCTATTCGAAAAACTAGAATCGAATTTCTTATTATATTGTTCTTTTCCCAATTTTTTAAAAACCGCAGAAACACCCATAACAAATCGAACCGTCTCGTATTTTAGCTCTTCCCTAAGTATTTGAGTGCATACTTACACATCGATAATGTACCGAAGACTGCACTTCCGGCAATTGCGAAGTACCACCTCAGTGCTAWTATGAGATTGATCCCACTCTTAGAATAAAAATCCCCGACGAATAAGTGTACAAGCATACGTACAAAGAATTGATAACAAAATCACCGCCTTAGTCGAGTAATTAATTTATAAAAACAAGAGAATACTTCACTCAAAAGCGAATATTTAAGACACAGTCATCAATGTCGCATTCAGTTTGGCTGAAATTGTAGAGAATGGCGCACCGTTTGATATTCTTGTCCATTTTGTGTGGGCATCTTATATATTTGGGGAATTGTTCAGCACCTATTCAAAGTAGCGCCAATGTAGCGGTATTTACCATTTATATATTTAATAAAAGAAACTCATTTTTAATAATTTTTTGTTACTTTCCATTAAGCCTTTTCTCACCTATCTTTGTGATGATGATTTATTGAAGAGCGCAGTAAACAAGGTAGAGCATTTGAGCCTCAAATTAGAGAATTATAATTTACGGTAACCTATTTTTACATTATTGAGTATCAATAAGATTTTACAATATTTTTTTATTTCTTAGTATGCAAAGCGAATTAAGGGCAATGAAGGAGCAGCTTATAAGTGAAGTAAAGAAGAATCAGAAATCAGCGCCAACTGCAACCAAAAAACCATCTTCTTGTACCGAAGCAATGCGTCAAGAAAACGGGAAATATGCAGAGAGTGGTGTTTATGAACTTTACTTGCCGGAATTCCTTCATCACGCCTTCTATGTTTATTGCCTACGTGATCCCAATGGCGGCGAACCATGGACTATAATTCAACGTAGACAAAGCAACGACACCGACTTCTATCGCGAGTGGGTTGAGTATGAACGCGGTTTTGGTGATTTGAATGCCAATTTCTTTCTCGGCTTGGATAAAATACATGCATTGACTCATTCGCGATCGCATGAGCTTTGGTTTCAATTAGAAGATTTTCAAAATGAGAAACGTGTTGCTAAGTACGAAAGTTTCGCTATAGGCAATGCTCAGGATAAGTATGAGTTAATTGCGCTTGGTCAATATTCAGGCACAGCCGGTGACTCGTTCTCTGCCCATCGCGGCGAAAAATTCACCACTAAAGATAGTCATAACGACAAAAATAGTGATAACTGTGCAGTGCTATATACGGGCGCTTGGTGGTATCAGAAATGTCATGCCAGGTAATACATGTTTTTATCATACAAGTAGCTATGAATTATTCTATATCATATGAAGTTTTCAAATAAAATTATGTTTAACATTAAATTATTTACCTGTTATATTCTACTTACAGCAATCTGAACGGTCTGTATTTAGGAGGAGAGTTTCCGAAGGATCAGTATGCCAAAGGAGTAGTGTGGCATGCCTGGCGTGGACATTACTATTCCCTCAAATATGTGCATATGGCTATAAGACCGAAGTATCACTGAGTTAGTCGTTTGCAATTGAAAATCATAGCCTCCATAAGTTTTTAACTTTACTGACATTAAAGTTTTTTGAGCAATAAATACTTTATTTTTGAGAAAACCGTTTTTTTTATTTTTATTAAATTTTTTTTTTTTTTTTTGCCAAAATACAGTATGAGTATAAAAAAGAGCGAACAAATAATTTGTCTCTCGCATGTCAAATCGTTGAGAATGTTGGAAAAAACTTAAGGGGATTTAGTGGTATCCAAAACACAAGCCTACGAGTAGTGCAAGACGGTCGATGGAAATATTAAATAAGTGAAGAATGTTTTGCTTGAAAATCGTCAGGCAAGTGTTAGAGAGATGGTAAGAGAGCTCGAGATACAGACCATAAACAAGTCTATTTGGACATGCTTGATCGTGCGAAGTCCGATTCCTCATGCTCATTATTTTTTTTCGATATTCGTGGTTTGGTGCACCATGAAGTTTTCCGGGAGGGACATGCGGTCAATGAGCAATACTATTTGGCTCTAATGAGTCGTTTGCAAAGGAATATCCGTCAAAAATAGCCTGTATAGTCGAAGAACAATTCATGGATTTTACTCGATGATAATGCAACATCGCGGCGAGCCGCTATTGTCGCCGAACTCGGCAACAAGTATTTACTATTTATTTAAAAGAAGCTTTTAAACGCGTTTGTCTCAATTTTCTGGCGATACTGACAAGGGTCTATACGAGACTGGCATTATGATATTACCTTCGAAATGCTACAAGATTATTGGATTATTCTAACTATTCTAAGTCAGTTGGAAAGACGGAAATCATTATTTCTGATGCCGACATTTCAGCTATACATACATATATGTCGACTAAGATATTTGATCCATTTCTGATAGAAGGGCATATTACATAAATAGAAAATAAGCTGTAAGCCATTGAAAGTAAACCACAACACCTGCGAGATGGGTTAGATTCCGAGATTTGAGGAAGGAAGCTAGACGCATTTGCAAACAAAAAATGAGAGAGGCAAAAATGTGTGAGTACGAAGACCTTGACAAGCTAACCGACAGGGGGAATGCTCGAAAATTCTACGAAAAGATTCGGCGACTAACATAAGGTTTCATGACCGAAGCATACTCTTATAGAACCCCCAGAGGTGATCTAGTGACTGATGCCCAGAGCATACTAAAATTCTGGAGGGACCACTTCTCCAGCTTGCTGAATGGCAGTGAAAGCAGAACATCATGAGATGATGATGATCCCGATTCCACAATCGATCACAATGGAGCGAACATTCCACTGCCCGACAATGAAGAATTTCGAATAGCAATTACTCGTCTGAAGAACAAAGCGGCTTCAGACCTCGTAGATCAACAACTGACCATATAATCACCATGCTTCAAAAGTTGGAAAATATCCGTGAAAATAGGACCAACATACACCACCTCTCTGAGGTTTCAGACAAACCGATCCCCAATCGTTTCTTCAATCTGCTCTTGAAGAAAATAGTTCGAACTCCATATCTGAATAGAGAATACACAATCTTTTATAAGAATATACAGCTGCTGGCGTAAGCCGTTGTTATTGATATCATTGGTCTTACCATTCGCGATGTTAGTTTTGCTTTCGAAGCTACAGAGTTTGGTAGTGAACGAGGGCAAGACGAAATATCTTCAGTCAATTTAACAAAAAGCCTTCGCATTCGCTCCCACGCCACTGTTGACAATCATAACTTTGAAGTCGTAGATAATTTCGTCTATCTTGGAACCAGCTTTAACACCAACAATAAATTTAGCCTCAAAATCCAACGCAGGATAACGCTTGCCAACAGGTGCTACTTCGGACTGAATATGCAATTGATTCCCCTCTCGACGAACAAAAACCAAACTCATTATTCCCGTCCTGCTATGTGCTGCGGCGGCATGGCAATGACAAAAAATGATGAGTCGGCCCTAGGAGTGTTCGAGAGAATGGTTCTGCGAAGATTTATGGCCCTTTGCGCGTTGGCCACGATGAATACCGCAGTCGATGGAACGAAGAGTGGCATGAGATATATGACGACATTGACATAGTTCAGTGAAACAAGAGATAGCGGCTACGCTGGCTAGGTCTTGTCGCCCGAATGGATGAAAACACTCCGGGAAGTGAGAGTATTCGACGCAGTACCCGCCGGGTCAACCAAAGAAAGACCTCCACACCGTTGGTAAAACTAGCTGAAGAAAGCTTCACTTGGAATATCCAATTGATACCAAACAGTGAAAAGCAAACAGGAAAAGAAAGGCGGTCCCACGCCAGTCGGGTCTATATAACCGGAACGGACATGGACTTTTTAACCGGCCAAGGACTGTCAACTCGGCAGAATTCTGCCGCTCTATATTAACAACATTGAAACGACTGGCGCGCTTTTGTAAACTTGGGCATAAGCGCTTAAGTGGGATCTACGCCAACCAAGAAGAATAATTATATATAAAACTTAATAATTTTGAAACCCAGAAGTGGAAAGTAAGGTTATCACATTTTTTAAATATGTAATCAACTAATGTTGATGAAAATTAATTGTGTGTCGAACAATGGATATCATTTGGAGACATTTCCAAGTAGAGCCACCAGCTGTCTCAAAAGCGACCTTAATGAAAATTGTTGTGATTGATTGTGACGCACTCTAGAATGTTATGTAAAAATCGGCGTGTAATCCTGAAATATTCAGCAGTTAGTGCTCACACTACCAAAAACATATTTAAATAACAACACAATTTTATTTATTTATTTTTAGTGTTTTTTTTTTTTTTCAATAATATTTCATTTATTCATATAATAATTTCATGTATTTATGTAAGTGCTGAATGTTACTCAATGCTCAGAAGTACATTTGTAGATTTGTTGTTGTTTTTTTTTTTTAGTTTTTGTTTTTGCTTCTTAATATTGTAGATTATGAATTGCTAGGCCTTAGATGTAGTAGTTGGCGAGTATACACCGCACGAACATACACACATCCATAAGTAATGATAACATAGCTTTGCGACTTTGCTCGTACATTTGCGTAAATCCGCGCTCACTTCATTAACAAAACACCACAAATTTCTGCTTTTTTTTTTTTCTTTTGCATTTATATATATTCTGTATATTTTAGTATTTCAAAAAAAAATTAAAAAATATCTTTTAACAAAACCAAAAGAGAAAAAACTGTTATATACTATATACATAAATAGTTATATGCTATATATATATGTATATAGTATGTATAGCATAACGCTCGCCACTAATAGGTAAATTTTAATAAGTTTACATACACATGTCTATAAATGTTTCAACTTGAACGTGAGTAATTGGTTTTTTTTTTGTTGTTTTTGTGTTTTTTGATGCTTCATAATTACTTTGCACTAAATATGTATTTAAACTCTTTTGCTACAACGTTATGGTTTGTGACTCAAATTGCTAACTTCTAATTGCGTTTGCTTGTGTGTTGGTAGCGCAGCAGTGTGCACCCGCCACGCCACACACACACAGAGACAAATGTGCTGTTAAATTTTTTTGCCTTAAACACTACAATATTTGTTGTTATTATTTATAATTTAACAACTTTTAGTAACGATACGTCTCTAACCTTGCAAAGCGCGCGCTTGTACTAACTTATTTGTTGTATTTAAAAAAAAGAGTTTAGCTTTAAATTTATATAAATAAAATATAATAAAATATTTACAGCGCCGTTCTATATTAAAAATGTTAAATTATAGCGTTTAACTTTACAGTGGCGCACAAACGAGTGCTTAAACGTAAGTATGTGTGAAATAGAAATCGTTTTTGTTAATTAATATACTTAATAATTCAATGCTTATGTGTTTATATAAAAAAAAAAGTCTTAAAATTACTTATATTTGTATTTGTAGTGAAACAGTGTAAACATAAACGCTCGTTCATTGGTATAAATCATTGCTTGCGCGATTTTTATGTTTTATTTTAATATTGTAAATTTAATTTTAATATTTATTT